GATATGCCAGCTGAAAGGCACTATAGGTAAAAAAAATGGCTTAAGTTAAATATAATTATTAGATTTTTCATTTATATTCTATTCACAATCCATTTTATTGCAGAGATGCACGAATCACTGAAAATTTACGGGGGGGGTTACGGATATCCAGAAGCTGGTGATTGCGGATCAAGTCATACGCGAATATGGGCTATGAATAAACTATGTATTTTAAATGTATATACAAAAAATTGATAATCTTAAAAATACCTGTTCGTATAAAAATATATTTTGTATTTATTTTGCATTATAATAATCTATATTTATATTTTCAGAAGGAGAATTTGTAATACTGTTATTATATATATTTTAAAATAAAATTATTATTTATAAAATGTTCTGTTTTATTATTTAAAAATACCGAAACTTATGTAAAACGTAATAACTGTAAGGTTATTACAGTAATTTTTTTTTTACAGTTATAGTCCAAACCGAGAAAAAACGTATTTTTTCGTAACATTCTATCAACGAACGTATTTTTTTAAATGAAATTTTAAATGTTATATTAAAAACAAAAGTAATATGATTATAATTATTACAATTTTTCATCTTGGATTTTTTTTATCTAACAATAAGACTATGATGTTTGCCAAACGACAGGTGACTTCGATAAGATATAAGGAATTTTGAATAAATAAATAAATATTGAAGTATTTTGAAATTTGAAAAATACAAAATAAACCATTATCAAGCATATTATTTCAATTTGCAGTTTTTTTCTATTACCAATAATATATTTTTAATCGCTACAAAAAACACATCTCGCCGTGATATCTTAACTTATCTACGAGTATATTAATGAAATGATTAGATAAGCCCGTTATAGGACGCCTAACAAATATTACTTTGAGTAATAAAGTCAGAATTGTGAATTGATTTTTCTTATGCACAAAATTGTAAATAATTTTGTTTAAACGTAGCGTAATTATATGAGAAGCAAATAAAAGTGGAAAACAAAGGCGTGTTTACGTTAAGATATAATAAATCGAACGTAGTGGCATATAATAATTTGTATTCGTAAGAGGGAAGATTATTTAGTCAGAGCATTATTTAAAACAATAATATTAAAACAATAGAGAAAACTTTGAACATTAATTAACAACGGCGGGTTCATATTTCAACGTTTATAAATCGTATACGCTATTTGAATAAAATACATTTTACTATAGTAATATAAAATTAATTTATAATAAATAAAATAAAGCACTGTTTTAACAGTAATTACAGCAAAATGAAGAATTTTTTTATACGTCGTTTTCTTTTGTTCTTTTGAAATAATACTTGGTGATAGCAAAATCGATCTTTGTGAGGTGTGCAAATGTTCTAAAATAAAAAATCCAGATAATAAGCTTTCAATATCGTGTAAGTTTTCATATATTGATTGGGAGAGAGTGGATTGGCCACGAAATGATGAAAAAATTGAAATAGAACTTGGAGCAAGCGGACAAAACAGCGGAGCAACCATGTTGCCAAGGTTGAGGAAAAAATTACTTTATGTTACTTGAAATATATTACAGTTCATTTCAATTTGTAAATTTTACATTTCGCTCATTTACCTTCGTTAATCGAACCAGATTTCCTGATTCGATTAACCTATTTTTAACTATAATTAACTTTTCAGATTCCCCTACAACGAACAGATAAAATTTATCAATATCACTTCAAGTGGTATAAAATCTGTGAAACCAGGAGCTTTTAAAAATCTGCCCAACTTAGAATATTTATCGTTAACTAACAATAGCATAAAATACCTCGGAGGAAACATATTTCAAGGACTCAAAAAACTTAAATCGTTAGACCTTTCCCAAAATAAACTGACCGAAATAACCAGCGACGTTTTTAAAGATCTTCAAAATTTGGAAGAATTGTATTTAGGAAATAATGAATTGACTAAAGTGCCAATTGAGGTAATCGAGAGTATAGTGATGTATTATCTAATGTTCTTAAAAATCAAGTTATTAATAGATTCAACATGTTGTAGACATTAGAAAATTTGAAGGAGTTAAGAACTTTAGATTTGTCTTCAAATATTATTTTCATTTTGAAAACAAATGAATTGATGATACCGAAATTAAAGAACTTGGATTTAAGTAAAAACAATTTAACCGTCATTGCCAGTGAAACTTTCAGCGGACTGAAATCATTGTAATTATATTTACTCATAAGTGTGAACAAGTTGTTTTTCCAAACAAATGCTAAATCCTGATTTATTTTACAGAGAAAATATAAACTTATCTAACAATAAAATTGTCAACATTGAATCAAAAGCATTCGATATCAGTAACCTGAAATCTTTGGACATTTCGTACAATCGACTTTCCAATGTTCTTACTCTACCAGAAAGTATACAAGTTGTAAATCTTGAATGGAACGCTTATATATTTTGGCCCTTTGAAAAGCCCATTGAAGAATTGCGTTATTTAAATTTACGCCAAAATAACATACGAAAAGTGAACTTGGATGAATCTTACAAAAAACTAGAGGTATGTAGTTTATTATGAAATAATTTGAATAACTATCAGAATCAAGTATCATTCTTTTTTCAGACCTTAATACTTTCCGGAAATGTACTCATTGAGTATCCGCGAATGAAACTAAATGAGCTTTCAACATTGGACTTAAGCAACAATGATTTTTCAATATTACCAGAACAACTCGACATAAATCTAATGCCCAATTTGAGACACCTTTCACTAAGTGGAAATCCAATTCGCAAAATTAAATTTGAAAATATCCTTTCCTTGGAAACGCTCGAGATAAACGATATGTCAAGACTTACAGAAATTTCGGGACTCGAAAACATACGTAATATTATAATCGAGTCCAAACTATATGAAATTTTTATTATACAAATATTCTAATAAGATATTGAATTTTTAGATGGCAGAATATTTGTCGAATCAAATAAACCTTGTGTCCATTTGAGCATTTCAAATTGTGAATTGCTGGTTAAAATACAAAATGATGCTTTTGAAAATATAAATTTATGTAGTGTGAGTAGATAACGAATTTATAAAAAATATAATACTATTATATAATTATGAAATTAAATTCATAAAATCATATTCCAGTTAAATTTGAGTCATAACGCTCTGAAAGAAGTGCCGCTCTCGGTGCCAAACGACATAGAACTTGATTTACAGGTAGGACTAAATCAAATTAAATTTAGCAATTTAATGAATATATTCATAAGATAGGAATATTCCAAAACCAAACCCAAAACCAGAACCAAGATCCAAACCAAATCCTTGAAAATTAAAATAATTTCAATTACAGGGAAACCCTTTGACGTGCTCCTGCAGCCTACAATGGTTTTTAGACGATATATTACCATTTTTGTATAAACATCACCAGCACGTTTTACCCGAATTGCGATGTGGTTCTATGCGTTTGGTTTATTGGTACAATTGGCCTGGCAAAGTATTGTGTGATAAAGACTCAAAGAATTATATGAAAGCCGACCTGAAAGATTTGGTAAAACCCAAATACTGTTACAGATGTTTCTTCATTTATTGATTTTAGCATCGTTTTTTATATTACTTCGCCATAAACAATTAACGAAAGTGATATATTTTAGAGCCTAGCATCAAGCACATACCATCAAACAACCTTTCGATCTGGGAGAGCTTTCTATGCTATAGCTGGTGGTTCATTAACGTTACTTGTAATTCTTGTTGTGATAGGGATGTATCACACAAAGGTACAAACGAGAAGATTAAAAGCCTTGAAAAGAAACCGAAGATTACAGAGTTGATTCCATTATTTTTGATAAGACAAATGAGATTCTCGCAAAAATCCTACAAAAATGCTATCACTGCAATGAATTATTGCATCATTTCAAATTGTCATTATTACCAAAAATTGCCCTCATTATCATAATCCATTATATTTATTCAACTCTGTATATAATACATCTTTTTCATAATATATATTTTGACCATACATTCTATAAATTATTGATTATTATTATATTAATTTTTTTAGTGTTATATAATACAATTAATAAAGAATATACTTATTTAACAACATCAAACAAAGTTTGCTTAATTTACTCGGTATATAAATTTTGATTTTATAGTACTCATAATTTTGGTTCCAATATAGATTTCATTGCATGTTGTACAAGAGGCTGAATTATCACATATAATGTGTACTTTTCCAGTTTGAAATGAATATTTGAAATTGTATACAAATTTGATTACAAAAAGTTAAAGCAAACAAAGTAGATGCAAAAATAATTTTAGGATGCCCAATTTTATTGTAAGTTGTTAATAATATTTTATTCGCAAAATAAAACGGTTATATATATATATATATATATATATATATATATATACTTAAATACTTATATACATACATATATAAATATCACATAAAATTTAACACCCGAAAAAAGGAATTTTCGCATCTATTCCTACGGGAAAAGCCATTTACATTTTGCATTAAATGCTCATTAATCTGGAATGTGTCCAAAATAAAAATACATTAGCTTGCCAATAGTTAAATTACATCTAGGCTTAGACTAACCGGGATTTATTAATGAGTTTTCAAGAGAGTGCAATTAATCAATAATACTTTAAACGTGAATCTTCAAACAAACCCTGATAACTAGAAAAATAACATCGCATGAGACATTTGCAAAACAAAATTGAGATTCACAAAATCAAAAACACTATTCTGCATGTTTACTTTTCTATGCAAGGTTGCTGCTGAAAAGTGCCTAACACATTGCAAATATTATTTTGACGAAACTTAATTTATTTCGAGTTCAAAAATATTTTAAAAATAATGCATTTTGTGTAATAGACAATTTTGAAATCACCTCAAGAATATATTAATATTCATCATATTTTATTTGAATTTAATATACAAAAAAGGCAAAAGTGAGTTCTTAATGTTTTTGTTAGAATCATATGTTAAAAATATTGAACTATAAGAAAATTATATATGGCATTAGCATAAAAATTCAAAAATATTAGGAATATGTTTAGGATAAAATTATTTGAATTAAACTTAGTTGTAGATTTTTACTTTATTGCTATCTTATATTAATCAACAAAGTCAATTTCAAATATACCTTTTATGAATATCTATACAAATAAAAATAGATATGCATATATGTTAAATATATTCCATACATGTAAGTACAGATAAACATGTAATATAAATTCCCATATAAAGAGTGTTGCATATCATTTAAAGATAATAAATAGAATCTTATTAAACCAATCATACCTTTTTTGGTTCTAACTCTTCCTGTTTGAGATGACCTGTACTTTAATGCAAATATTTGTCTTTTTATATCTATATTTATTACTACTCTAACAAGAGCAGTTTTCCTTGCCATTAATTGCTGGTTGAGTTGTGCGACCTGGTTGAATGGGAGGCTTGTGTTGAACACCAGATTCAGCCGCATTCAAATCCAAACGACCGTCTTGAATGCTTTGGTATATTTTTTTAGCAGTTTCTAAAAATGCCTCTTCAACATTTTGGCCTCTAAAATATAGAATTATCACAAAAATACTAATAATGTGAGGGCAAATAAATCTATTAAGAAGTAATGAGAAAAAACAGAGAGTTTTTACTTAGTACAGAATCAAAATTGATGTTAAACACATAACATTTGTCTACATACGATTTAGCACTTGTTTCCACAAACATTAGGCCATTATCATCAGCAAATTGTTTGGCCTCCTCATAAGAAATTTCTCTCTGTGCTTCTAAATCACTTTTGTTGCCTATTAAAAATATCACAGTACTTGGATTGGTTAAATTTCGAGTGTCTGTAAGCCAACTACTCAAGTGATTGTATGTCGACCTGAAAAATTATAAAAATGATTTAAAAAGGTCAGCTTTAAATCCAAATTCTAATATAACCCAAAAAAATTATGTCACACCTGCGAGTAACATCATAAACCATTAAAGCTCCAGCAGCACCTCTATAATACGAACGAGTCACAGCTCTGAATCGTTCCTGACCAGCAGTATCCCAAATTTGTAATTTTATCTTTTGGCCTGATACTTCTATAATTCTTGTACCAAATTCAACACCAATGGTATGTGGGCAGTCAGCCATAACTGAAAAATATAGTAGTAATACTACTTAAATATCATGGCAGAGGAAAAAAATTAATAAAATGAATTAATATCGTTTCGATTTAATGCAGTTATGAAAACAGTTTGTGTGATGTTGAATTATTCAAAAGATATTCTGTAACAAAACAAGTAGAAGTATAATGCGTAATACTGACTTAGAGAAGGAACGTAAACTGAGTTAAACTACAACTCAATTAAGAAAAGAGATTTGCCATTGCCATTTCACACCCTAGTGCCCAAAATGGGCTATTTTCAATTGGAAACAAATATTTGATCTAAAACTAGTGAAAACGGAAATCCCTATTTATACAATAAGTATATTTATATATATATATATATATATATATATATATTATTAATAATAATAATAATATATATATATATATATATATATATATATTATATTTATATAATTGAGTATTTACTATTACATTGTATCAATACTTACATTTCTTCTCAGTGAATTGGTGCAACAGACAAGATTTTCCAACACCCATATCACCTATTATTATATATTTAAAAATATACGAATAATTATAAGGACCCGCCATTTTAACTGTAACAACACAATTTAAATTTACACACAATATGATTATTTCAATACTCCATTTATAAAATTACTCTTGTCGCAAGATTTGCGTGTCAAAATAGACGCAATATCTGTCAAGCAAGTCGTTTCGTAAAGCGTTCTGCCTACCTTATTGGTAAAAAACAATGCAAATAAATACTAATACACAGGTTCTAAATGTCGTCTTATCAGAAGGATATTAAAAAACATGAAAAACTCCGTGTAGTTTTTCATATATATGATAATTTACTTTCGGAAATGCACACAATGCCTGCCCAGCCTGCCCATATGAAAATGACAACTAAACAATAACAGCGTTAGCGCCCCAGACGGCCGTGCTTCGTGGCATGAATCATTTGCGAAATATTTTAGCGGGATCATTCAAATTCAGAATCGGGATATTATTTTATATGAATCACTCTACATAAACAGAAATTGTTTGAATAAGAAAAATGTGTCTGGTATGTTATTTGACAAACATTCATTTAATTTTAATTTATATGTATGAGTAATCAATATAATGCATATGTAAATATGTTTATGTTAATACAACCAACATTAATAACTATATTATATTAAACTTATTTGTTAGTTTACTTTTCAAAATAATTTTATTCATATTCTTATAATTAAGATAATTGGTATTACCATAAATTATAAATGCTAAGAACCTTGGAAGTACTATAATTTTAATATGTTCATCAGCTTATATTAGAGATTTCAATATATAAAAATAATTATATATTATATTTCGGTCAATTAGTTATATAGAAATAACAATTTATTTCTTAAATTATTAAGAAAGTGGATGAACATTTAACGTTTTAGGGTCTCCTCGTTTAATAACATGTGGTATCTTTTTAGGAACCATACTGAAACAGAAATATACATATGAATATAAATTTAGTAAATGATTAATAAATATTTATGTATAGAAACCTGATGCAATCTATAATTGGACAAACTGATAGGCATAATGTACATCCTGTGCAATCGTCGGTCACGACTGGTCTGTGATCTTCAGCACCAAATTGTATAGCCTGAAAAAATGCATAGCATTGATAGCGCATTTTTTGTTATTTTTGTTTTCTTTACTACTGCATTATTTTACTTTTTATTTCATATTAACCCTCCGTCGGTCGGATATTTTTTCACCTTCGAACGGTCGGAAAGGTCTGGCTGGACCACCATTCATTTTACATGCATTTATATGGGATAAATGAGTTTCTGGTGTCTTTTGTATTACCGATTATATAAAAAAATCAAGAAATATAAAAAAATCGTTGCCTTTTTTGTTAATTTTTCTCTTTTAAATCAATGAAAAACAATATTTATTCTTTTTCGGCGCCTTTGAAATGAATGTGTGCATTACTCATCCGATTTTCAGTGTTTGCGATTACCAATAAGTTTGGTAGGTTTTCAAGGAACTCTCTTCATGAAAATACTAACATTCATGTTAGAACACATAGCAAAGAATATAAACAACGCAGTTTGAATAGAAAATACCATGAAAAAAGACAAAATACTGGTTTACATATATCAAAAAGCGTATATTTCATACAAAATGTATGGGTGGTCTGGACAGACCTTTCCGACCGTTCAAAGTATAAAAAAGTTAATAACCTTATAATTATCCTTCTGTACATTTTTTCGTCCTGATTTTTTCATTGATCGACAGCTAATGAAATTTTAGGAAAAGTCAAGAAATTTCAAGTCGATAGGATTACTAGAAGTATTTTTTATTTTTAATTGAAGTCGAAAAAAGTCTGGCAAGACCACGCCGACCGACGGAGGGTTAAACTCCTAATAAATTTTTCACTGTTAACAATGTTCGCTTATTGAATTCATTACCAAGGCGCAGAATAAAAGAGTTTAAATAAATGATTACGCATAGAAAAAACATTTAAATATAAATATGTATATTAGTTCACCAACCTGGTATCCAGAATCATTACAAGCCATGTAACATTTTCCGCAATTGATACACAAATCATCATCAATCAAAGCAACGACTTGCCGCGAGTTGTCCAATTTCTTGTACGGGCCGATGCGTTCTAAAGCCAATCCTATCATGGAAGCTATGCTGGGTGCCATCACTGATTTCTCTTTACGTGGAATAACTGAAGATAAAAAATCCGATACGATTGTTATCATAAACATTCGTGTATAAGGATTACATAACAATGCAATTAATCGCGATGATTCATTCCACATGTGTTATAGCAAATGACGAGTCGACTTCGGAATAATTAGAAGAATTTGATATTTTGGTAAGTACAGAAGCGAAATAGTTTTTCAGGACATCAGGTAGCATAAAAGCATTAAATTCAGGAGAGCATTTCTTGGCTACCAGATAATTGTAAACTAAATTTATGTCAAGATTATTGTAACAAATATGATGAGATAATAATTTAAATTAAAGATGATGAAAGTTAGAGGAATGATAAAGCATTTTACAGAAAGCAAAATAGTCAAACTAATCCTACATTCATCTTCTGAGATTTTCTTGATACCACCTTGCTTTGGCGGAGTGCACACTCCATTTTCAAGCCTTTGCTTTGCTAATATTTCTTCACGTTTCTTTGCATAAGGACCAAAATGTAGAATAGGCTGAAAATAAAAAATATTAAGTAAAACTATTTGTTTCATATAATCATTAAATCGCCGTACAACTTATAATATGATAAGTTATCATACTAAATAAATTTCTAAAACAGAATAAAAATACATAGATATCTTAATTTAAAATAAAAAGTAATATTAAAAGTACCTTTCCGTTTTCATCACAAAGAGGTGCAATTGGTTTACCCCGTTGCACCTTTGTTCTCGGAGGTGATTGTCCATCCCATGGTCCTGCATCACTATCCAAAACTGGTGGCGGATTTGCCCGTAAGTATAATAATGCACGAAGCCCCGTGCAATAATCATCGATTACCGTAAAGTCTTGATTTTGAACAGCGCTGCAAACCTATCGAGTGATTATGAATTTGAATAATTTGTTCCAGCATGGTATAAATTTTGAAATAAAAAATAATATAACCTGAACAACGCTGGCTCCACAATGCAAAAATTGCAGAGCCGCATCTGCCGAGTCTACACCTCCTATGCCAAGAATAGCAAATCCTGGTAAAGCTTTGGCAACTGCTGATACTGCACGTAAAGCCATTGGCCGTGTTGCATTGCCTAACACAAAAACAGTCAAGATATATATTTATTTAATATATTAAATATAAAATATATGGCATAAATAAAAAAATGAAAACATTAGAGACCTGAAACACCGCCATATGTTGTTCCTTTGGCTTCTCCAACTCCAGGCCAAGCTGTACCATCGCCTCGCAAGCCCATTAATCCTGACACGGTGTTAATTGCTGATACACCATCCGCTTTACCTTTATGATATTTAAAATGAATAATATAAAATAGGTAAAATATACTAAGTTATATTGCTAAGCTTTCAAGAAAATCTCTAACCTTCATAAGCTGCTCTAGCAATTTCTACGATGTCGGTTATATTTGGAGTAAGTTTAACGAAAAACGGAATTTTTACAGCAGCGCGAACCCAACGTGATATATTGTATACTAATTCTGGTTTCTGGAAGGGACAATCAAGATATACTATTTTATAACATTGTGAATTAATTCCTTGCGCATAAATATTATAATATTATTTACCTGGCCACAAGCTAAACCCATTCCGCTTTCTCCCATACCATGAGGACAAGACAAATTTAATTCTAAAGCATCAACGCCAGTGGCTGCTGCTTTTGTCGCTAATTCGGTCCAGTCTGCTTCATTATATGAACACATAATACTTGCAATGACTACCTGGAAATTGCAAGAAAATATAAAGTGCCTCAAAAACAAATTACTTATCGACAATTACCTTAGTGGGGAAATCACGTTTGAGTTCTTTCAGACACTGCAGCCAGTAATCTAAACATTTTTCAGATATCAATTCTATGTTTAGGAATGAACTTTGGCCTGGACCGTAAATATGACCGGATGTTGTACCTTTGACAATTCTGGGCGACACATTTGTAACTTGATCCTGTACAAACATATATATTTCATTACAATATTTTCAACATCATATATAAATAAAAATATATTTAGCTTTGCCTTATCTAAACCAAAAGTTTTAGTAACAGCAAAACCCCAGCCTTGCTCAAAACTTCTACGTATCATAGGACCACTGGTAGTAGGAGGCGCTGAAGCTAATCCAAATGGATTTTCGAATTTTATCCCACAAACTTCAACCGAGAGATCAACTAAATCTACATCGCTAAAGAATAGTGGCAAATTTGGCGGAGTATCCATTGGAAGACCCTTTGAATTGAATAGAAAATCTCTAGTAAATGTAATTAATTTGAAATATATTTCTATTCATTTAATTGTACCAACCTGCATAGAACAGTGCATGTACCAGGCGGCAGTTTTACCATCATTGACAGATTCAACAGTAGTATCGGCGCTGCCGGCAAGATCGCCTCCACAAAATACCTAAGTTTTAATAATTAACAAATGAATTAACAAATAACAAATTACAGTAGAATCTAATTAAAAAATTAAATTAATTTCTATTGATATTATACCTGAGGGTGCGTAGAACGCATAGTACGCGAATCCACCCGTGGTAAACCTCGGTGCATTTCCAAAGGCTGCAAAGCTTCGACAACTGGACATATAAACAATTAATTTAAATAATGCAAGAAATAATAAATTATATATCAATGAAAAAACGACTTACCTTCTGGATCATAAAGACCTGATCCGAAGGCAGATATAACAAAATTAGCTTTAAGGCGCGTAGTTTGTTCTTTATCCTCAATCCATTGGCCATTTTCATCTTGCTCAGTTCTGCAAAATTCCATGGCCGTGATCTATTAATTGAAGTAGCATGAAATTGAAAATTAATAAAAACAATAAACTAATCTAAAACTTCCCACAACTCCGATTACCTTGTTATTCTTCACAACAACTTTCTGAGGCGACATAAAAGGAACGAATTCACATTTCTCTTCTCGGGCTAATTCAACCTAGTAGTATTTAGAATGATTATTTGGTTTTCAGCAATATATAATATTATATTACCTCTTCTGGAACTGCTCGAATATTTGTACTGCCTTTTCGAAATACTACAAAAACTTTTCGTGCTCCGCATCGTAAAGCAGAGGTGGCGCAATCGAAAGCAGTATCACCAGCTCCAAGCACAATTACTGTTCCATTTAAACGAGGTAAAGAGGATGATGCTAAAGCACAAGCACAAAGTCCTAAAGAATA